GTGTAAGATATCAACTTATTTGGTCTCACAGCCATGTGTAAGATATCAACAATCCAGCATAGACAGGGTTGCACCAAACCCAGTCCTATTCCTCATTACTGTCTCTTCTAGTAGAAGATTAAGACTCAGGGTCCTTGGTACTGATGCCAAAGCTCTAGATCTCCTGCAAGCAATTCTTGAATAAACTCACATCTGCCTCCCCAAGGGTAAGCCTCCTTTGCTGTGCCATGAGCTGTAAGTATAAATAAAGTCAAGAAACATTTCCCACCACAGAAGCAACTGAGTCCCAGTGTAGTAAATCAAGGGAAAATTAATAAAGGAACCCTCACTAAAATGGAGTCAGGAGGCCAGAAGGGGGAGCTCTCACCCCGTGACACTCAACATCGATTACAGCAAGAATTGTCAATTATTTATAGACCCCGACAGAAGAACGGTCAACAGGAAAAAATCAATAGTCATAGGTCCCAACAGGAAAAGATGTACATTGCATCTCCTACATAAGAAATTAACTACCACAGCCACTCAGCCAGATGAGAAACCATCATCCTGAACTCTTGCTTTTCTCCAATGGACTTCCATTCAAAACCACCCCTCCCAACATCCTCCTTCTTCTCCATGAAATAACATTCCTCTCATTTGTTTGTCGGATTTGCCTATGGTTTTTGCTGTGGCTTGTTTGTCCCAAATTGCAATCCTCTACTATTATCAAATAAACCCACTTTTTGCTGGTAAAATAACTGTTTTATTTTTAAGTCAACAAGCTATATATGACTATTTACAGTCCAAACACGGCACTGATTAAGACTTATGTCTAAAACATCTACATTCCTGTTTTTCTTTCAGGTTTCACTAGAAACAAAATGTAAGTCTTTCCTTTACATTTGTGTAATTAGAGTCTGTTTACAATTGACTCAAAATGAGATTCCAAAATATATTTTAGTTCTCTCTCTCTCAGCTCAGGTAACCCTCCCCCAAGTTTTAGTCAGAACTTCCACACCTAATGTTCCTTTTGGCTTGGCAATGGTTCTCTCCCCACCTCTTTTCCTCCCTATTTAGGTGCTTAAGAAGACTTTCCTTGACCTAAAGCTGGGGGCGGTGAGGGGTCGGTACCTTGATTATTCTTGCTTCTAGCTTTCTATCTCTTTCCTACAAAGTGTTTATCAGAATTGTGTAATTATTTTATCATATAAGAGATTATGTCTTTAATGGTTTTGTCTCAAATTAGATTATAAATTCCATTAGGGCAGACACTAACCTGACTTACAATAGATATTCAATAGTTGTGAATTCATGAATATGAGGAAAATATAAAGCAGGATTCCTACTCTCCAAGAATTTAGAATCTTATTAAGGAAAGAAAAAAAAATCCAAGAAATATTTACTATGCCCAGCCATCAAAAATTAAGAACCAGGGGCGCCTGGGTGGCTCAGTCAGTTAAGCATCCGCCTTCGGCTCAGGTCATGATCTCAGAGTCCTGGGATCAAGTCCTGCATCGGGTTCCCTGCTCAGCGGGGAGTCTGTTTCTCCCTCTCCCTCTGCTTCGTCCTCCCTGCTCAAGCTCTGTCTGTCTCTCTCAAATAAATAAATAAAACTGGGCTTTGCATCCTTACAAAAAAGACCCCAGAAAGCCAACTGTCATAGGGTTATCATGAGAAGGAGCCTTCATCAAACACTCAATCTGCCAGCACCAAGATCTTGGACTTCCTAGCCTCCAGAACTGGGAAAAATAAATGTTTATTGTGAATAAGCCATCTAGTTTATGGCGTTTTTGTTAGAACAACCCAAAGAGACTAAGACAGGAATGTAAGGATGTAAAGTTTGGGGGAGATGAACCATGAGAGACTATGGACTCTGAGAAACAAACTGGGGGTTTTAGAGGGGGGTGGGGGGATGGGCTAGCCTGGTGATGGGTATTAAAGAGGGCACGTACTGAATGGAGCACTGGGTGTTATATGCAAACAGTGAATCATGGAACACTACATCAAACACTAATGATGTAATATATGGTGACTAACATAATAAAATAAAATTAAAAAAAAAAAGAATGTAAAGTTCAGTAGAGAAAGCATGATCTTGGTGGGGAGTGGAGAAAAGACAGTGGAAGATCAGGTGGATTAAACGGAGATTTAGCAGCAAAGCAATCAGCTATTTTAGGAAATACATTCATTTGCTCGGGCTGTCTTAAAAGAGTACCCCAAACTGGGGGGGTTAAACAATAGAAATTCATTGTCTCACAGTTCTGGAGGCTAAAGTCCAAACTCAGTAGGGTAGGAAGAGTTCCTTCTGAGAGCTGGGAGGGAGAATCTGTTCCTCTCCTCTCTCCTAGCTTCTGGTGGTTTTCCTGCAAGCTGGCATCCTTGGCTTGTAGACACAACATCTCTGCCTTCATGTTCACATGGCACTGTCCCTGTGTGCATATCTGCATATCTGTCTCTTTACACGGCATTCTTCTTACAAGAACACCAGTCGTACTGGAATAGGGGCTCCCCCTATGAGGTAAGCGGATAATCAAAGGTGGATAATAAAAGCGCTTGTAATCTCCTGTAAAGTAGTGGTTTACAACTCTATGGCTATCAGAACTACGTTTTTCAGAAATGACAATACCTGGGCCCTTCCTAGCATTTCAGAGGATTTCCCAAAGCCTAAGGGCCTTATATATGAGGCTACTTCTCTTTCAATCACCTCTTTATTCCTTTTGGTCTAGTAAGCACTGGGAGACAGGAGCCCAGAGTTCTGGTTCTGACTTTGCTTCAAATTAGTATCTACAGTTCATTGCAGCATGATTCACAATAGTCAAGATATGGAGATAATCGAACTGTCCCTCAAAGCATGGCTGCATAAAGAAAATGTGAAATGTATAAGAATGTTATTCACCTTTTTAGAAAGGAAGAAATCCTGTCATTTCTGACAACATGGATGAAACTGGTGGACATGATGGCAAGTGAAATAAACTAGGCATAGAAAGACAAATACTGCATTATCTAAATACTTGTAATCATAGAAGCACAGCGTAGAATGGTGATTGACAGGGGCTGGGGAGTGGAGAAAATGGGGAGATGTTGGTCAAAGCTTATAGTTACACAAGGTAAGTACCACAGATCTAATATACAGCATGGTGACTATAGTTAATAATACTGTATTGTATACTTCAAAATTGGCCAAGAAGGTAAATCTTAAGTATTCTCACCACACACACAAGAAAGGTAACTATGTAGGGTGATGGACATGTTAACCAGCTTGATTGTCGTGATCATTTCACAATGCACACATATATCAAAACATCACGTTATACTTCAATAAATACATTTATTTGTCAATTGCCCCAGTAAAGCTAAAGAAGAAGACAAAAAAGGATGAAGCTATGAACCATATAAAATACTTTGTAGAAAATAACTATTTACAGATTTGGATGGCTTAATTGCTCTGGGCTTTTAGTTTTTGCATCAGTAAGATGAGAAGGGCCTAAATAATCTCCAAAGGTCCCTTCAATTCTTGTATTATTTGATGCCTGCAACCAAGGAGAATGTTTAGTAAATCTGCTCTTGGCATAAAAAAATTAAGGTGAAATGCTTTAGAACATGCCACCCCAAAATATACTGCTTTAGCATATTGATTACTTTGAGCTGAAGACATTTGAAAAACAACAAAGGCAGAAAGAGCACGCCGGCCTACTCTTTCTTTCTTTTTTTTTTTTTTTAAAGATTTTATTTATTTATTTGTCAGAGAGAGAGAGAGCGCGCAAGCAGGCAAAGGCAGAAGCAGGATCCCTGCTGAGCAAGGAGCCCCATGCGGGAATTGATCCGAGGACCCTGATATCATGACCTAGCCAAAGGCAGACACTTAACCAACTGAGCCACCCAAGCGTCCCTGACCTACTCTTTCTACCAAAAAGCAGGTCATAAAATTTCTCATGAGAAAGATGGCCTGCCTGACCAGGAAGAGAACGGAGTTTTAGTTTCACTGATTTTTCTCCTTTTTTTTTTTTTTAAGATTTTATTTATTTATTTGACAGAGAGATAGAGAGAGCACAAGTAGACAGAGCTGCAGGCAGAGGGAGGAGGGGAAGCAGGCTCTCCGCCGAGCAGGGAGCCCAATGCGGGGCTCGATCCCAGGACCCTGGGATCATGACCTGAGCCGAAGGCAGATGCTTAACCGACTGAGCCACCCAGGCACCCCTCTCCATTGTTTTTCTATTTTCTATTTCATTTATCTCTCCTCTAGTCTTTATTATTTCATTCTTTCTACTAGTTTTGGGTTTGTTGTGTTCTTCTTTCTCTAGTTTCTTAAGTTGTAAGTTAGGTTGTTGATTTCAGATCTTTCTCATTTTTTAATGTAAGTATTTATAGCTATGAATTTCCCCCTTAGCACTATTTTATAGTTATGTTATCATTTTCATTCCTCTCTAAGTATTTTCTAATTTCCCTTGTGATTTCTTCTTTGACTCACTGATTGTTTAAAAGTGTGTAGTTTAATTTCCACAATATTGTCAATTTTCTAGTTTTCCTTCTGTTACTGATTTCTCTAACTGCATCCCATTGTGGTAGAAGATACTTTATATGATATCTATCTTTTTAAATCTGCTGAGACTTCAGTGTGACCTAACACATGGTCTTTCCTGGAAAATGTCCCGTGTGCACTTGAGAAGAATGTGCACACTATTATTCTTGGGTGAAGTATTCTGTACCTGTCTGTTAGAACTACTTGGTTTATTGTGTTAAGTCCTCTCTTCCCTCAGTTAGCTTTTGTCTAGTTGTTTCATCCATTATTGTGAGAGGGGTATTGAAGTCTCCAACTCTCATTGTAGAGCTGTCTATTTCTCCCTTCAACTCTTGCCAGTTTTTGCTTCATGTGTTTTGCTGGTTTGTCATTAGGTATGTAAATGTTTCTAATTGTTATATCTTCTTGCTGTGTTGAATTTCGATTAATATACAGGATCCTTCCTTTACTCTTGGAAACTTTTTTGATTTAAAGTCTATTTCGTCTGGACATGGGTTGGAAAATGGCATCTCCCACAGACAGGACAGATCTGGAAGCATCTTTGCTAAGTTTTGAAAAACTTGACCATGCCCCACCAGACCTTTGGCCAGAACAATTACCAGGTGTTGCTGAATTCGCAGCTTCCTTTAAAAGTCCTATTACTAGTTCTCCACCCAAATGGATGGCTGAAATAGAATGTGGTGACATTGACATGTTGAAAGAACTGGGGAGCCTCACCACAGCTAATTTGATGGAGAAGGTACAAGGCCTACAGAACTTGGCCTATCAGCTGGGGCTGGATGAGTATTATTCATCTACTCTAGGGGTTGACATTTACTTGACACCCTAATCTGGTTTTGATGTCTCAATCCTCTTTCCTGCATTAATTGAGAGGATGACATGGATGAAAAATAAGCAATAGGAACTGATGAATCCCCAAGGACCAGTGATCCTGTTTTCATACAAATATCTGCACTGATAAAAATGATGGAAAGAAAAGAAATGCCAAAAATATTTGTCCTCAAAACATGATTGTTTGTCACTTCCCTAGAGCATTGCTCTATGTTAGTATAGAAATAATGTGTACCTTCTAGAGCTGGTAGTAACTAGACTGTGTCTTTTGGAAGATGAACCATGCCCTTTGATTTGGTACGTGATTATGTCTCAGATAACCCTTTTGGGTTTTTGGAGTGCAGTAATTTTTTGTATAGGCGTTTAAAGCTTGTCATGATTGGGGACCCTTGGCTTGATTTGAGCAGTTAATTAATGAAATTCTCATGAAATACATGGAAATATGAAAAAGTGTAAACTGCCTTACCATATAAAGAATTCCATTTTTATAACTTCAAAAAATAAATAAATAAATAATAAGTTCTATTTTGTCTGATATTTGTATAGCCACCCTGCTCTCTTTTGGTAACTATTTGCATGGAATATCTTTTTCCATCCTAGCTCCTGCAAGCTGCGTGCAAGCTGCTCTAGGAACATGTGTATCTGGCTGCTATGGGGCTGGGAATGGGGCTGGGTAGCTCCTACTGTGCTCAGAGCTGACATTGACCAATTACTCCATGTAGATGGTATCCAAACTTAATTGAATTGTAGGAAACCGACTGGTAACAGAGAATTGCCTGATATGCGGAAAAACCCACACATCTGGTGACAACAGTATTGTGTAGCAAAAAAAAAAAAACAAAAAAAACCCCACAGAGGATGAGTGTGTTTTGTCCATACATGTGAATGTTATGGATTGAATGGTGTCCCCCAAATTCATCTGTTGAAGTCCTAACCTCCAGCACCTCAGAATGTGACTGTATTTTGAAGTAAGGAATTTAAAGAGGTAATTAAGGTTAAATGGGGTCATTAGGATAGACCCCAATCCAATATGACAAGGAAATTTGAATGCAGACACACGCAGAGGAAGGACCATGTGAAGACACAGGGAGAAAATGGCCATCTACAAGCCAAGGAGAGAGGCTTCAGATGAAACCGTCCTACTAACACCTCGATCTTAGACTTCTAGCCTCCAGAATTGTGAGGAAATATATTTCTGTTGGTTAAGCCACCCAGTCTGTAGTATTTTGTTCTGCCAGCCCTAACAAACGAGTACTGTAAGCACAAAACATTTTGAAAATTTGGGAAACAGTCATAGAGAAATAGCATAAATTATGGCAGAATTATTTGAGTCTATCAAAAAAACCTAACGTTTTGTAAGCTAATAACATTCTACACTTATAGATGAAATAAAAACGTTTTTTGATTTTATCTTTTAGAAACTTTATGTCTATATTGTACTATATTTTATGTAGTGACCTTGAGACTGACTTTGTTTAAAGAAAATATAGTGTATATACACAATGGAATATTATTCAGCCATAAAAACGAAAGAAACTGTCATTTGCAACAATATGAATTAACCTTGAGGGCATTATGCTAGGTGAAATAAGTCAGACAGAAAAAGACAAATACCGTACGATCTCACTTATATGTAAGATCTAGAAAACTTGAACTCATAGAAACAGAGAGTAGGATGGTAGTTGCTGGGGCTGGATAGTGGGGGAAATGGGGAGAGGTTGGTCAAATGGTACAAACTTTCACAATTATAAGATGAATAAGTTCTGGGAATCTGACGTACAACATGGTAACTATAGTAAACAATACTGTATTGTGTACCTGAAATTTGCGAAGAGAGACCTTAAATGTCCTCAACACACACACACACACACACACAGTCAAATATATGAGGTTATGGATGTGTTAACTAACTTTATTGTAGTAATCATTTTACAATATACATGTACATGAAATTACCACATTATATACCTTAAATTGTACAATTTTCTTTTCTTTTTTTTTAAAGATTTTATTCATTTGAGAGAGAGACAGAGAGGATGAACGGGGTGGGGGGGACAGAGAGAGAGGGAGAAGCAGACTCCCCGCTGAGTAGGGAGCCCAACTAGGGGCTCAGTCTCAAGACCCTAAGATCACCTGAGCTGAAGTCAGACGCTTAACTGACTGAACCACCCAGGCGCTGCCACAATTTTATTTTCAACTATACTTCAATAAAGCTGGCGGAAAAAAGAATGACTTTGTTTTGACCTGCATAATAGTCAACATGAATATTTATGTTGGATCACTGATTGGATATTTAAAATAAAAAACATTCGTACAAATTTGAAAATGGAATCTTTGTGGCTCAGAGAGAATTTCATGGGTGATATGAAAAAGCAAGCACTCTGTCCATTTGGATCCTGAGAAGCAGACACAAAGACAGGATTAGATGTGAGAGAGCCATATTGGGGGAAATACCTATGAAAGATAAGGGGGAGACAGGTGAGTGAGCAGGGAGAGGCTTCACCATGTCATGCATGTATGACACCCGGGAAAGGAGTGAGGGAAGGAAGGAGGGCTGTGGAGGAGGAGACTCAGATGCAGAGCAAGCTAAGAAAATCTCTGCCAGGCTGATGGGGAGTCCTTGAGCCAAAGTCCCCTGCTAAAGGAATCTGGTTTCTTATAAGGATGGGCCTTCATTAATATGTCCATCATGCACACTGGTTGGCTGGGAGCTGCCGGGATAGGGGAATGTGGCCACAGCATTCACAGGAGCTGTAGGTGGAGGCTTTCAGTCAACTCTCTCCCCTCATAGTTTCCCTTGAAGACCTGAGTGGAGCATATCCGTGGCCACATACACTCTATTCCCTTTGAAGAAACTGTATAATTAATGATATGCTGTTAAGACAACTTATATCTTCCTTTATGATACTCATTTATTTTTATGCCTATTTGTCCATGTCATAAGCGCAATCATTACTTTCTATATTCCTGTAATGATCCTTATTATGGGGAAAAAAAGTTATCTAAAAATGCAAACAGAAAGGTAAAAAAAAAAAGGTTTTTCCTTGAAATGATTTGATTTTGTGTTAACCCACCCATTTAAAATACCACAACTACTTAATAGAGATGGATATTACTGGGTCTCAATTTTTTAAAAAAGATGTATTTATTTATTTGAGAGAGAGAAAGAGATTGGGGTTGAGGGGCTGGGGGTGAGAAAAGCCCAAGCAGACTCCATACTGAGCACGGAACCGACGCCAGGCTCAACCTCACAACCCTGAGATCATGACTTGAGCTGAAACTAAGGGTCAGAGGCTTAACCCAGGTGCCCCTATTGGATCCCAATTTCAGTAAGCAAGCACATCCCTCTGAAGCATCAAATCTCTAGCATGATTCTAATAGAGCAGCTAAAGTGCTTTCCTTATTTTGATTGTTATCTTCTTTATTCTGATATTTAACTATTAGGTCAATATGCAATATTATTCACAAAATTGTTATAATGCAGGGAGCATAAATCCTTTTCTCTTATTCATGTAAGAGACCTACTGGTTTTCACAGGAATTCTGAACATAGAATGAAACTAGACCTCATTATTTGTTCATTTCCCTGAAGGAAAACTATAATGTTACTGTTGATTACTATGTAGACCAATGTGTAGATATGAGTTTTCCCCATTTCAAAAACATACATCAATATTATTAATGTATTATATTAATCCATTACTTTTGTCCTTTTCTGTACTCTAATATTTATTTATTTGTTTACTCATTTTTCCTGACATCATTATACAAAGTCTACAATAAAAGAAAAGTTTCAATGTTTGTATTTCTTTTCTGGCCTTTATTTTATTATTCATTTTATTTCATGATTATTACTGAAAATAACTGTACTGTGTGGAGGAAAGAATGTCAAAAAAACAACATGCTTGTTCCAGGTGTCAAATATGCTAGACTCACCACTGGAAGGCTGCATGCTGGTCCAGGTTATGTCCTCAGCCTGGCAATCCCAGCCTCAAATATTAGCTCTCCCAGTCTCAAAATATTAATTTCAGAAAAATTAACTTAGAAACTGGCTTTGCTTGGGTCATGTCACAGAACAATTCAGAGACCTTTTATGTGAGTAGCATGTTAGGAGTTTACTTTTGTTTACAATCAAAGGTAAAAATAAAATATTAAGGGAGGTGACAAGACAGGAAGAAAAAAGTCTAGGAATAGTGGACTCTGTTTTCTTTCACTTGAGTCATCTGATTGACTGGAAGCCCATCCCAGAGTTTGCCCTGGAGCATGCTACTGGGTCCTGAAAGAAAACAATTTCAGTTACTTGCATATTCTCTTCAGCAGTGATTCTCCAGTGTTAGCAGGCACTAGAAGAGGGTGTTAAAACACTGAGTGCTGTGCTGAATTGTTCATTCCATAGGTTTAGGGTGAGGCTAGAGAATTTGCATATCTAACAGCTTCTCAGATGCTCTTCCGCCAGGGACCACACTTTGAGACCATTGCTCTGGAAAGCCATGAGAATCTTAGCGATAGTGTGTCATGTCTGCCTTTGTTCTTCTGTTGATACCTCTATCTTAGTTAAACCAGGATTGCATCATTTTCATTAGAAACTCTCGGTTTCCCCCTTTTGGTTAATGTCAGCTCCCAAAGGAACTGAGTTGTCCATTAAGGCTGTTTTTGACACAGTATTTTTAGTTGGACTTAGCCTTGAGTTAATGGCTGCAGAGCAACATTTAAACACCTGTATATCAGACAATGGGGAAAGACAAAAAGGTCGATGATGATCACAAATACCATAAGAAGTATTTCGAACCAATTTTTATATTCAATTATTTAGTCAGCCTAGGACTATCCAATTTGGGTCAGAGTCAGGATTCAATTTCATATACAGGTTTTTGTTCAAGAGCTTGCTGTCAGGTCAAACAAAAAGCCTTGTATAAACCAGTGACATGCAGGGTCTCAGACTGCTCCTGCTAATTTATCTTCCTAATAAAATACAAGCAACTGGTGGGCTTGTTTTGAA